AAACACAATGTGGGATTGTTTTGGTATGGTAACAAAGAAGTGCAAAAAAAAATGCTGTATCTATTTTTTGGTTAATTTTAGGTTGCTCTGTTCACCCAACAGATAACATTTTTGGAATAGTCATGTGCATTCTCAAATCACTTACTCAATTTTAAAGACTCTGAAATGTTAGAGAAGCAGACTGGTTTCGATACATTTATTATAAAGACTTACACCAGATGTACAGAAACCAGAGTAAATTAAATTGTACATTGTGATTCCACAGATGACTGATCTGCCCAAAAAGCAATGTTGCCCAGCAACAAAAGCAAACTCCATTTTCAACTATGTAGAAGGAAATTATGGATTTTACTGGTTCTCTTTGAACACACCCACTAAAATAAGTCTTTTTCCTATTATAATCTCTGTACTTGGCCAAGTTATCTTCCTCTAAAAGAGCATTTCCAGTGAAGATGGGTTTATCTCTCCAACAGTCATTTTACTTTAAGAAAGGCCAGGGCCTGACATAGAGGAAGGACTTAAAGTATCATTAGCCAATCATAATCCTACCCACATGGCTCAAAAGTAAAACCTGGGAAGTGATAACTGAAATCATTCTGGAACTGTATTTATTACTTAACTGAATTTAATTTTCTGTCTTTTGGTAAGCTTCATCTTATGATTATAACATTCTAAATAACATCATCAATTGCATAAGCAAAGTCTAAAATCTGTTCAACCTAATCTGAAAGAAAGGAAGTTTAGTCTATACATGTCTATATTTTTCCCACTAAAGATTCTTAGAAGCATAGACAGGGATATAGATTACCCACAAGATACATTAAGGGTGACAGATGGAGTTGGCATATTGAACACTGAAAGGTAAATTGTGTTGGGACGGGTCGATCTGCACCCAGAGGAGCAAAGCAAAGAGAAATGAGGATTTTTGAAATGAAAAATGGAAGAAAAATACAAGTCTGTTGTACATTATAATTCTTTTGGAAAAAGGAAATTAAAATGCAATACTTGAAAAAAAAACTCAAGAAACAAAGAGTTCTCACTTTCATTGACAATCTAATTTATAATCCAAGGCCTTGGTTTTGGTAGTTTTTTCCAGGTCAAAGGTCATTGTGGCTGCACTGAAGTTTTAAATTTCATTCCTTTAGAAAAATAATATATAAGGCATATTGCATGCACCTCACAATTTAGCAAAAGTACCTACATGCAATTTTCATAGCAGTTTCATCTGGTAATCTCTAGGTAAGAAAATAAAAGAGACGTCTTTCAGATACCAATTATTGCAATTTTAAAATCCCAATTTCCCTCTAAGCCCCCCTTTCGAGTGATTAATAGAGCAATTATGACTTATTATCTGGGATTTCACTTTTGCAAATAGCAAAACATAGTGAAGCTGAAGCTTCAAAACACTGGTTGAATCGACTGGCTTCCCAGCACTGAACACACAATTGAGCTCAAATTAGAAAGGTCAGGAAGGGCCTTTTTGAAGGACTCTGCACTTTGTCAGATGTATTTATTCATGTGTAGAGGATTAGAATTCATAAACATTTTGCCACTTTTTTGAATGCTATTTCTTGTCTTTGTTATTCTTGGCTAGGCCTTGTCAATACAGCAATATGCGTCTTCTAGCTTATTACCAGAAAAATAACATATATGACATAACCCCAAAGAATTGCAAAATCAGCAGGACGTGTTGGCTGTGCATCCTTCTAGGCACATAGATAGGTACCTAAAAAACTTGATTCAAGACAAAAATCAAGTTATCTAAGGATTGCACCCAAAACAGACATTTTCTTCTTTTTAAATATTTTATCATGAAAATCATTGACTTAGCAAAACATCTCTTAACTGTTCTTTTAAGAAATATGTACAAGGTCAGTCAAAATAATATACTATTGGATTAAAACTAATTTGAGCACGGTACAGGAAATTCCTGGAGGCAACTTATTTTGAAATTGTACCAGAAGTCTTTTTTTTTTTTTTTTTTTTTTTTTTTTTTTTTTTTTTTTTTTTTCTTTTTCTTGGCCAAGGACAGAAATGGGATTTATCAATCCAATCAGAGTCTGATGAATATTTTTTAACTTTTTCACTTAAGCCCTTAGAAACACCAGCTTGGAGTTTAGGAGAAACTGAATATCTAATTGCAAGAGTCATGGGTTCAATTGGAAAAGTATCAGGCATAGTCCTCTGAACAGTCATGTAGTTATTAGAATAAGTGACAGAAATGTGAGGTCCCTAGAGAGCCTGAGTTTGGTAATCTGCTTTGGCCCTCCCTGGTGATGAACACCTTCACAGTTTCCTTAAGGTCACATTCGCCTACTGTTATGCAAAGCCAATTAGTGCCCCCCCCAACCCCCCAGGTTGCTTCCTCTGAAAGAAATTTTCCTAACAGGTGAGAAGAGCTTTAAGCAGTTGCCATCCCTATGGAATCCAAAATAAAAATACTGGAAATGTTCAAGCAAGGGAAAGAAAGAGGAGGACACACAGTAGTAGTACAGGCTTCAGGTCATGAGCTGAGAGCATGGCCACATAAAGGCCACCTGCAATAACACAGTAGATGATGGGTTCAAGCTTGTTAGAGAGAGGATGATTTTCCGAAAAGGAAACCCCTGTTGCCATAGACCTGGAAGCTGTGAGATGACACTGCAGCCTCTAGTCATAGTCTGCTGCATGAGGAGCGTTTTCTCTAGCTCTCGCTCACTCTGAGTTCTGATTTCTTCTTTTTCCTTCTTCCTTCTTCCTTTCTTCATTCCTTCCTCATCTCCTCTCTCGCTCTATCTTTCCTTTCCTCTCTCCTTTTTAATAACTGCTCTACCCTCTTAAGTATGCCCAGCTGCTTTCATTTCCCTGGGATTTCACAAACAGTGGCTAAACTCAGCGATTGCCTTTGTTGATAATCTTTTAAAGATGACTTTGTGCTCTAAAGCTACTGAAAAAAAAAAAAAAATCTCTTGAACTGATTCCTGGTAGGTGTTGACAACCACCCCTGAGGTGAACTCTTCGGATGCTGTTGTCCAAGCTGCTCATCGGGGGTTTGTTTGCGTTGGATTTTACATAGAGAAGTTGTTTCGCCTTTTTTTTTTTTTTTTTTTTTTTTTGTCTTTTAGATTATGTATAACTGAGACTTAGTCCACTGGGGAATTGGTGTGAATCTGGGAAAGCTTACAAGCTCCTAAATAGTTGCAATTCATGAGTAAAAGATGAGAGAACCAAGAAAAGTATATGATATACCAGAATGATCTTTTTTCATGGTCTTCTTTTAGATTTTGATGTCTGCCTATACTTCAAAAGAGATTGTATGGATAATCTAAAGGAAGTAAAACTGTTTTGGAAAAATACTGTTTGAAAATTCTTTCCAGTGTAGATATGGCCTGTGAGGTTGATTTCTCATATCCGAAAATGTGTATGAATGAAGAGTCAGACCATCTGCTTCAGGAACTGCTGCCTGTTCTATAAGTGTCTTAGTCACTCAAAACCACCTGCAGATCATATGAGTTATTTGTCTTTTCATTTTTCAGATAGAGTTAAAAGAAATATGGGTTATGAGTCTGGACACTCCATAGGTCACAGCTACCAATAAAAGAGAGAAAGCTTTTCTTGTTGATAAAGAAGCAAATATATTATGGCCTACATACATCTATCTATTCATTAAGTAGACCTTTTATTGGGCATCTATTGTAAGACCAAAAAGTTCCAGTGCAAGTAAAAGTAATAAAAAATACCATCAAAGTGTCTTGGGAATATAATGT